CATCCAGGAATTCATCCTGAAGATATAATCAGAGTTATGTACAAAAATATGTGAAATAAAATGGTAATTATGCTATGATTTATAATAATTAATAGAAACCAAGTATTTCCTTTATAAAGTTTTGTTTAAATATTATGGCATAACTATTCAATGAAATAATCTGTAGACTTAAACACAAAAATAAACATCAAATAAAACAACAAAACACATGGTTTTGAAAATTAACAGTGAGGGGACATGCTCATAATTTAAGTGGAGAAATTATAGGTTACAAAATTGCATGTGCAGAGTTAAATTTTGTATTCTTTCCTGATCTTTTGGCAAAACATTGTCATTTGACAAGGGGGCAACCTACCCTGACCAGACTTTCAGGTTGCTGTTGGTAAAACCAGACTTCTGAAGTCCATTTATGGAGTGTCAGCATACTTCTTGGAGTTTGAGGTAGGCTTTTGGCAAAACATGGTTACTCCATAAAGGAGAGAACATATCCTGATACCGTTCATGCCAGTTCATCAAAATAAGGGCATCTTCGGGGGGCGGGAGGGGAGGGATTGGGGTCAGAATGGGGGGTTGCAATTGTATGGGGAATATAAAAATAAAATTTATTATAAAAAAATAAAAAATAAAAAATAAAAAAAAAAGAAGAATGACGGGAATAAATTCTATAGGCACTAGAAAAAAAAAAAATAAGGGCATCTTCAATAGAAAGACTTTGTATCATGTCCCCTAGTTTTCTGTGCTATTCATTCAATGTCTTAAAGTGCAATGGAGCAGTCTGGTCACTCACTCCTGGCTTATAGCTCCCTTTTATATCAAACTAGCTAAATTATACATTCCATCAAGCTTTTAGAGTTTAGCTTTTGTTTCATTTTAGCTGTAAAGCTATATTTGGAATACATAGTATGGGGCCAATGGAGGTGTAGAAGCTAAAACTTAAGAAAGAAAATACCTGCAGTGTATATTCTAGCACTATGAGACAGTTACCATTAACTCCATTTTTCAGATGAGAAAACATTGGTTTAGGAAATTAAGTAATTTGACAAATAAATTCTATTTAGGAAATTAGAAACCAGATTTTCAAGCAACTGCCCTCACCCTTTGCATTCTACCAGCAATTCCTGGAACTCTGAATTCATTTTTAAAAATCTTACCAGGGAATGTCAATGATTAGCCTCATCTAAATCCTGTAACATTAATATTACCACTTCCCTATACCTGAAGGCAAAGTAGTGGTAACAGTGCAGATTGATTTCTTTTCTCCTAAACTTTCTAGCTCTAGCTGCTTGGATCTTAAATTTCAAATTAACACTTGTGTTTTCAGTTGGGGGATCCAGATATTACCACATGTTCAGATTAAACTAATTCTTTCTATTTCCCTCTCAATCAAAGAGAGAGGTACCAAATTCCATGATGATTGTAACTAGCACTTTTTTCTACAGAATCTACACTCAGTCTGTTTTTTCTGTTTCTTGCTCTTCTGTGTTTAAATTCTTGATAAAAATCATTACCCAAATCTCTTGAGTCACCAAAATTCTAATTTCTCCTTTGAGGATTTCCCTCCATTCTTCTCAGTCTTTCACCATATCCTATTTTCCCCTCTATATTCCCAAAACTAATTTACTTCCACCTTATTTACCCTATTATGCAGCAATCTCTAGCCTAAACAATCTGTTCACATTTTTGTTCTAGTTTTTGTCAATTGATTTCTGGTAATCAACTCCATGGTTATATCACAGAGCTATAAGAAGTGTCTTTGCCATGAGGAGGAAAAGGAATACATATATGGTTGTGGAAGGTGTCAGGACACAGAGGAAGTCACCTCATTCTCCTCTGAGTTCTTCTAGTCTGGCAAGAAACCAAGCAAGCATCAGACAGATTGATAAGAGAAAAAAACACATAGAGAAGTTTAATATAACATGTGTATCTCCTGTATATGTGGAAAAGACCCAGCATGATTAACTCCTCACTGGGTTTATTTTTTTAAAGATTTATTTATGCCTACAAGAACTGGGGTATAGGACCGAGGTGTGGGGGATGAGAGGATTCACCAGAGACAGAGTGGGGAACAGAACAGGCAGATTGACTAAAGTACACTGCTAAGGGGAGCAGCGGGCAAGTCAGGAGAGGTCTGCTGCACCATGTGGGTAGCTCCCTGTCCAGGGATCGAACTCATGCTGCATTGTCTTCAGATAGCTTCATAGGTTGCCTCTTAACCCCTTGAACCACCAGGGAGACCCCCCCTCCACTGGCTTTAAGTGCCATTTTAAATAGCTCGAACAAGAGGGAAGTCAGAAGGTCAGGTTTATTTACTTGCTGGGAGTTGTAGTCCTGGGCTCCTGGGATAGCATCAGTGTGGAAATGGGTGTGGAGTCTGTAAAGGTGGCATTCCATGGCTCCGTTTGCTTCTTACTGTTCCTCTACCATCACCTTCTCCATTTCTTCATGCCACTTTCTCACTGTGACATTAACTCACTTAGCAAATAAAAATAGAATGTTCTCTATGAGCCAAACTTGTCATCACTATACTGTTAAACTACTTATTTTCCTCAATAGCATTTATCTCCATATGATATAAAGTATATTTAACTTGCTTATCTTTTTTTTAAAGATAGATTTATTTATTTATTTATTTATTTATTTATTTATTTATTTACAAGCACTGGGTACAGTCAGAAGCGCGGAAGGGTGAGAAAATTCACCAGAGCCAGAGCAGGGAACAGAACAGGCAGACTGATGAAATACACTGCTGAGGGGAGCAGCGGGCACGGCAGGAGAGGTCTGCGTGACATGTGGGAACCTCGCCTGGCGGCCGGGGATCGAACTGGCTCTGCAGAGGCTGCTTCACAGCCCAGTGCTCAACCGCTGCACCACCAGGGGAGGCCTTAATTTGCTTATCTTATTATTGTTTACCCTTTCCCCCAACAACACTCAGTAGAAAGTCAGCACTATTAGATGAAAGAATTTTTTTTCTCTGTTGTTACTTTATTTTTCTCCGGCATCTAAAATAGTCACCAGCAAGTAGAAACTCAGTAGATGTTCACTGAATAAATAATACATGGCCTCTAAATAAAGGGTAGACAAACAAACCTCTTTTCCATAGAATGGCATAATTGCCTGAATAAGAATGCTTGCATTTCTTTTCAGAACAAGCTGAACTGAGATATACTGAAAGAATAAGTCAATTGATGTTCAGGTTCAAGGCTTTTAAGATATAATGAGGTAGCAACAGGCCTGTCAGAAAGCAAAGCCATGTGCCAACTGAGGAAATAAGGAAGCTGAAAATACAGACACATTGGAAGCCAGTCAGGCGCCAGACTGAAGCAAATATTCCTGAGGAAGGATAGCTACCCAAATTGAGAGAAAACTTGAGGTCAGTGAGAGATGCAAAGATGGATGGTCAGGCTTAAGGTTGTTATTTTTTTTTTAACAAAATTACACTGGTTAAACTTGTTCCTCACTGCTCAGGAGGATGCTAGGACTGCCATACTGACATTTGCTAACTTAAAATGTCACCTCTCCTTGGGTGCATATATTGAGCCAAGTGTCTTCTGTCAAATAAGTTTGTGCCCCCAACTGATGTATTGAGCAAAGCCATTTCAGGTATTGTCTTTGGCTCATGAGGAAGGGAATATTTTGATTCTCTGCTGTTAACCCCTCTGAGTCACACATCACATGTCTGAACCATTCTTTGTCTGCCATATAGTGCCATTCCCAGCTGGATTGTAAATTGCAAGGTAATCTGAAAAATGCATCCTTGATTTTATAAGTAAAATTAATAAGGAAAGATTGGGGAATATGAAGTCTACTGGGTACTGGTGTAAAGTACCCTCTGGAATATGAGTAGACAATTGTTCGGATTTTATAATAGCCTGAATTGGGGAAGCATGGAGACAAACTGTCCTGGACCTGAGCGGTGACTTCCCTTATGTCTGAACATGCATTTCTAATCCTAGTTTACCACTGTTCATTCTATTTACTGTCTCTTTGATTTTGAGCCCATTTATTATCATGCTCATGCTATCATTTTTCTTAGGATGGGAAGCTATTTCTTGATTTTTGTTACAAATAACAGTAGGCAAGAGAGTAGACCAAGATGACCTTGTGATTGGATTACATCTGACCCTCTTGATACATTGAGCTTACCTGACACTTTAGGAATTTGTGTTTACCACTGCTGATCACTGAATGGTTACTCTATAGTTATGAACAGATTGATATTCTCAAAGGTGAATGACTTATTTAAATTGATATTAACAAATTTTTAAAATTACAGCAGGCTGATCTCTGACTGCCTTTCACTGACCATGTTGATACAGAGACTGAAGATACTTAAAGTAATATTTTATCCAGGAAAAGATTTAAGGATGTGGCTTTCCCCTGTATAAAATCTATTCAGCCAAACTCTTTGTCATAGGATTCAAGTATTCCCTGTAGCTCTGCTGAATTGACTGGAAACATGATAAGGCATCTAAATTCTGCAGGTATAGCCATTCCTAGCAACCAATTTGATTTTTGATGGACAAAGAGCCCCTGGAAAGTAGATGCCTTTGTACCTGAGAAAAAAGAAATCCCAAGCAAGCTAGACATGCCCTAATCAGTATGCTCTGGGTATGACAGCATGCAAGTGAGTGATCTATTTCTTTCTGAACTCTGGCTCTGTCAGTGACAGGACATGATTTACTAGAACAAATCAAATAAATGTATTTGACTCCTGTTTTGATGTTACAAAACACTGAACCATATTTCCTTATGTAGTCCTCTTATTCTGTATTCTTAATTTTAACTTTCTTTTAAGATAATATTTTCAGAATGAGAATGCAAATAACAACGAGTCAGGGCAGAATTATTTTCAGTGCTTTAAAACATTATGAAAAGAATAATTTCTACAAAGGCATGATAATGTGGTAAATGTTACAGCCATCCCAAATGATTTGGAGACCTTGACTATGCAATCAGTGGTGAAATATTTCAATGCTCTCTTGTTCCCGTTCCTGTTGCAGATACATGTGACAGCGCTGCAGAGATGAGTGGAATTTTAAAAGGGAAGTTTGAAGAAATTGACAGCTCCTCACCTTGCTGCTCTGTGCAGGAATCAGATGATGAAGTTTTTAGCTGTGACAGTGCTGACAGTGTTGATAGTGTCAATCCGTCCACTTCTAATCATTTCACTGGTAAGTATCTGAAGCTGTATTTCAGGTTGTACTTTAAATTGTGTTGTCTGGTTGATTCTTGGAGTTCTTAATCTTTATCCACTGATATATCTGCTCCCTAGTTTTTTATCATATCAGGTTTATTGGCAAAGCATGGTATCATTTTGTTTAATTAAGTCTCAGTAGCATACCCCTATTCACCTATATGGAATGAGAGTGAGAATGAGAGACAGGAACAAGTCCAATTGAAGGGGAGCATATAGCAATTGAAAATTTTTTCACACGTGTTCAGTTTTCTGAAGTAGAACCCTTTTTTCACAATCTAATCAATGGAGCTATTTAATTTACACTTGTATATTGGTCATTAAGTTGTGGAATATTTGCAGTGCTGAGTATAGCATGTTCACTTTCTAGGTGAGAAAATGGTGTTTGCTTTTAGAAGAATGCTGCTGTGAAATAATATCATTGAAAACTTGGAAATCTCCAAGTTGTTTGGATATTGGTAAACTGTAGACTCAAGGTCAGATTCATACACTATAGCAAATGTAGCTTCACACATAGTATACTTCTGCTAAGCAGTTAATGTTAACAATTTATCAGCAGTTATCATTTAGCTCAATGTAATTTGTTCTAACTTAAAATTCTTTTTTTTTTAAAAGATTTATTTATTTATTTTATACAAGAACTGGGGTACAGGTCAGAAGCGCAGGGAGGGTAAAAGAATTCCCCAGAGCCAGAGCGGGTTGCAGAACGTCCAAAAACACTGCTGAGGGGAGGAGCGGGCGAGGCAGGAGAGGTCTGCATGCCATGTGGGGTTCTCCCTGGCTGGTAGGGAATCAAACCAGCACTGCAGAGGCTGTGGACAGCTTCGCAGCGCGGTGCTCAACCGCTGCCGGCTGCACCTCTGGGGAGGCCCTCTAACTTAAAATTCTAACCACTTCAAGCAACATCCCTTGTATCAGATGGGAAGAATTATAAAAAGGTGACTCATGTTCAACATCTTATGACCATTTAACCCCAGTTATTAGGGGAGAGGGATTTCAAATTTTTTTAGAAGTATTAGCATCATGCAAGGCAAAACTAAACAAAATCAATAAAAGCTCTAAAATTCCACATACTCCTTATAAAATGATGAGTTTGTAAACTTCCTTTAAAACTGCATCCCATAAATAGAGAAAAAAATATGCAGCAAAAAGGGTATTTTCGGGCCTCCCCGGTGGCGCAGCGGTTGAGCGCTGGGTTGCGAAGCTGCCCGTGGCCTCTGAGGCGCCGGTTCGATCCCCGGCTGCTTCCTGGCCACCGGAGGAGGGTCCCACATGGCGCGCAGACCTCTCCTGCCGCCCGCTGCTCCCCTCAGCGGTGTACTTCGGTCCTTCTGCCTGCTCTGCTCCCTGCTCTGGCTCTGGTGAATTCTCTCACCCTCCCGCACTTCTGACTGTACCCAGTGCATGTATAAACAAAACAAACAAACAAACAAACAAACAAAGAAAACATGCCTCTATAAAAAATAAATAAATAAATAAACTAACCCTTCTTTTAAAAAAAAAAAAAAAGGTATTTTCTATTTTCCCCAATAATTTTTTAAGCATTTGCAAATCTTTAGCTCACACTGAAACCGTCTTTTAAAAATTCATACTAAAGTCTATATGATGTGATTCTGTGACCCCTGCTATTCAATTTTAACCCTTTCACCCCACACTCTGAAGAATTCAACATTTTGTTTGGTAATCATTAATTTTCCCCCATCGTTGTTGGAAGCACTCAGGTTACTAATAGGTATAATTTCATAAGAATACTTAGCCTTTGCATTATTTATCTTTTGACCAAATTAGAACTTACTTTTTATGAACTTGAAGAAAGTATAAAAAAATAGGAAAAGGAAGATGAGAGAAAGAAGAAAACAATAGCTGCTTTGAAAACAAGAGTCTAAAGTTACATATAAAGGTAATTTCTAGTCAGTGGATTTTGGGGAGATAAATATTGTTTGAGATTTTTCAATGACCTTTGCAGCCGGCCCTCTAAGTGACTAGCTGTATGGAGTGTGTGTATCTGGCTGTCAGCCATGATGCCCAGAAGAATATTAAGCACTGGATGATGCTTAAAGATCTTTATTGGGTGAATGTATTCATTTCTTTTGATACTTTTAAAAAAGATTTATTTATTTATGCATACAAAAGCTGGGGTACAGGCCAGAGTTGTGGGGGATGAGAGGATTCACCAGAGACAGAGTGGGGAACAGAACAGGCAGATTTACCAAAGTACACTGCTGAGGGGAGCGGCAGGTAAGACAGGAGAAGTCTGCTGCGCCATGTATGTTGCTCCCTGGCCGGCCTGGGATCGAACTCATGCTGCAGAGGATGGGGATTGCTTCATAGTGTGGCACTTAATCCCTTGGGCTACCAGGGAGGACCCTCTTTCGATACTTTTTTAAATAAATAAAAGTTGTATATATTTAGGTACACTTTGTGATTATATATATTACATATGCAATATGTATCTTCTATGAAATTCAATATTCACATTATATATTATAGAAAACAATATATTTAAGATACACATGTGATCTATGCATGATATACGCAGTATGTGTGCATTTGGAAATGATTGCTATAATCAAGCTAGTTAACATTTCTATCACCTCAGGTTACCTTTTTTGGCTGTGTTGAGAACACTTGAAATTTTTTTCTTGGCAGTTTTTAAGAATGCAATATGTTCTTTTTATAATTTCAGACAATTTTTTAAAAACTGGAGAGATTGTTTCCATTATGTTCTTGTTCTTAGGAAAGCAAGAGTATACATTTAAACTCAAGCGAGTCAGGAAAACTCTACTAAATACCTCTTATGGGCCTCCCTGGTGGCGCAAGGGGTTAAGTCTCAGCACTGTCAAGCTATGGGCAACCACTGCAGCATGAGTTCCAAAATAAAATAAACCTTTAAAAAGAAAACCTTTTATGTGACCTTGAAGAGCTCTATCCAAGCTCTGCAACCCTACAGGAGTTGCCTAGGATTTTTCAACTTTTTTTCTTTTCAACCACTCCTTATAAACATTATCAATCTAGACCCTTTCTTTGAGATACCACCTCATCTAGTGCAAGACAACATCTTCCCCACCTCAGAGATTTTTAAAAAACCTCTATCACATTTACAACCTCCCTGGTGTCTATGCCTTTCCTGAAGTTACAAATTGACTCTCTCCTGGAAAAATCAATTGCTGGACTTTGCTATGCAAGGCACTTACTGGTTTCTATAGCTTTTGAGTTTACCAGGTACCTATAGTGTTCATTTAAGCATCATCATGTCTTAAAATTGTGGCTCTATATGCTTTCCAGATGAAAGTGATTTTTGATGGCTTAAAGGGTTTGAAAAATTATAGTTCAGACAGTTGTGATGAGCACATGAAATAGTTTCTTGGAAGGGCAAACATTTACGTGAAGAGTGAATTTATTTTGATAAGATGAACTATTGATGGCTATTTTGATTATCTGGTCATAACTTTCCTGACATCACTGTGACCAGAGAATTGTCTTCAGCTATTAAAGAAGGCAGCTGCAAAATTTTTATTATTTTTTTTAAAGATTTATTATTTTTTTAAAGATTTATTTATTCATATAAGAGCTGGGGTGTAGGCCAGAGGTGGGGAGAGTGAGAGGATTCACCAGAGACAGAGTAGGGAGCAGAACAGATAGATTGACTCAAACACACTGCTGAGGGGAGTAGTGGGCGAGACATTAGAGGTCTGCTGTACCATGTGGTTCAGCTCCCTGGCTGGGGATTGAACTTGTGCTGCAGTGGCTGCCCATAGCTTCATAGTACTGAGACTTAACACCTTGCACCACCAGGAAGCCCAAAATTTGATTTTTTTTGGCTATTTTTTTCCAATACTGTTGTTAATGTACTTTTTTGTGTGAATTTTTAAGGGTTTTGTGGAAATATTTGCAGACACTGCTTTGTAAGGGAATGGTTATGTACATCATTGAACAACTTGTAACTGATTGTGTAATCAGAGCCATGATGTGGGATAAACTGTGTGGAGGAAGATTAAGGAAGATAGATTGAAGGTGTGACCAGCATTAACTTTCTGTTACTGTGGACTCCTCTTGGCCTGCCCTAGAATATGAGACATTATTTTATAATGTTGGACAAATTGAGGAAGATACTTCTTTTTTTCCCAGAGGGCTTCATATTGTATATATAGCAGAGTAAGACAAAAACACTAATAAAAATTCAACCCTCATTTTGAATTAAAAGAACTTCAGGGCTGGTGGGGCTTTTGAGAACATCTGGACTCACTGCCTTACTTTATAGATGTGGACACCAATATCTAGGGAGAGTAACTTGACAAGAACAATAATATGAGCTAGTGGCAGAGGACTTTAAAGTGGATCCCAAGAGGCTATCTTTCTATTAGTTTCTGATGGTCTATTATGTCTCTGACTACTAAGTAGAGGGACCCACATCATCCAGTGAAAGACATGGATGTATCTTACATACAGCTCCTCTTGGAAATAGGATGAGTCCTTCTTTTGGTAAAAGTAATTGGCATCTCATCTCCTGTTGCTATTTTTTGTCCAGTTGGCTTCTGGTTAAAGTATTATTATCTCCCAACTATAATATACTACCAGTGGTGAGTTTTTGAATAAATTCAATAAGTTAAAAAGTAGTGGACAGAGAGTTCAATTTGAGTGTGAATGAATAATTTCTCTTCCTCTTTCTATAAGTGACAAGGCAGACTATTGAGATTTTCTTGTATGTCACTGACATTGATGGAAGTATCTTAGAGCAAACATGTTGTTTTACATTTACATGAAAGAAATTGGTTTGTCTTGGTGACATAATGCTACTTGTGATAATGGGAAAATGTTGCAATGAAAAGTAGGGTGAGATGAAGTGTATAGTATGCATCGTTCGTGGCAGCTAACACACACAGGGTTATTTCATTTACTTTAAAAGTAAAACCTTTGTACATTCTACTTTTGCCAGAGGGGTGAGTGGCATCCTGGACTGTCTGAAAAAAAGATAAT